CAAGATTCGGTGTTTAGAGGTTCGGGCTCGGGTCTAGGATGCGTGTAGCACTTAAGGCTCAAATGGGGGTGTCGCGCTGCTAGCTGTACATACAAAGCCCACGACCTGCTCAGCCCCCAACCCTCAACCCCAAACTCTAAACATCTCTAAATACTAACCCTTTAACCCTAGACTGCAAGCCCAAAACCCCAAACCCGAACCCTTAACCCCCGAAACTCTTAACGCCTACAACGCCAAACTCTGCACTCTAAACCCTAAACCCTTAAACACTAAACCACAATAAAAGGTTCTCGAGCGATGCAGCTGTTGGGGTTTGCGACTGGAGTTTCTGGGTTTGGGGGTTTAGGGTTTAGGGGGTTACAGGGTTCAGGGTTCAGGGTTTGGGGGTTTAGGGTTTTCTTCAGGCTTAATTAGGGTTTGAGGGTTTTAGGGTTTAGGGTTTAGGCTTCAGGGGCTTCGGCTTTAGGGTTTGGGGTTGTGGAACAGGGATCCAACGAGCCGGGTTCAGGGCTTTCTCGAATTGCGGGCGTGAGACTGAGGGCCTAACACAACGCCCTACATGGTTCAGCGACCCACGAGACATGCCGGGCCATAAACCATAAACTCTATAAACCTAAGACCCTAGCCTGGGTTCTTGTTGAGGGATGTAATTTAAGTTGCCATAATAATGAAACCATATTACTTACCATAGATCCCTATTATGGTAACTTTAATTGAATCCCTTAACAGGAACCCAGTAGCAGCCCTCAGCCCTAACCCAAGTTTTGGTTCCGAAACCTTCAATCTAAAGCTTAACTGACAAACTCCGGCCGTGCACTCCGAAAAATAAAACCCTGTCTGTCAAGCCTTAAAGGGACCCTAAACCCTAAACCCTAAACCCTAAACCCTAAACCCTAAACCCCAAGCCTTATAGGGACCCACAAAGTCGGATCGGAAGCCTAAAACCTAAACCCAAAACCCCTACCTGCCAGAATTCCAGGGATGGGGAAGGAATGTCGTACTAGCGGGCTACACTTGCTCTAAGCTAAAGCTTCGCAAGAACTGCGTGGATAAGGACAAGGAACCCAAGCACCACACCAACAAGCTTAAACCCTGAAGCAAAACATGAACCCGAATCCCTGTTCCCACTTGTTGGCAGGGTGCCGCTTGCATATCTTGCGATTTCAGCGGGCACGACAGCCAGCCTGGAATGCGGAAGCCGTCTCGGAATTACGGACCCTAAAGCCTATAATATAGAGGCCTTAATAATTAGAACAGGATTTTTGGGGCATATTAAACTATAACTATAACAAGGAAGTCCCAAAATAGTATAGGTAATTATTTAGGCCCCTATATTACCTCAACTCCTAAACCCCAAAACTGTAAAACCTGAGGCAGAATAGACGATGCTAGATTTGGAGAGTCCAAGGCCCCCGTTTCAATCTCGAGCCCCATGAACTTCATACCTTTGTGCATGGCATCCACAAAGAATGGGTTTAGGGTTTAGGGTTTAGGGTTTAGGGTTTAGGGTAGACGCTCCGTAATCTGCAAGAGCCACCGTCCAGATTCGCCCCAACCTCAATCGCGTCCATGTGGGTGACAGGATGAGATGAGGCCGCGTTCGGACACACCCTAAACCCTAAATCCTAAACCCTAAACCCCCCCCCTAAACCACGTATCTAACTCCTAAACCTCTAAACCCTCCCCTACAGCCCTAAACCCTAAACCCTCAGACTAGGGTTGGGAGTAAGGCTTTGGGAGTAGGATGTGGGACGTAGGATCCGACCCGCCCGATGCTGGGTCCGCAAGGGTGTTTTCAGGGCTGAAAGTTGTGGGGCTTAGGGTTTAGGGTTTGGGGTTGTGGGGCTTCTGGGTTTAGGGATATGGGGTTTAGGATTTAGGGTCTATTTTTTGTCTGGTGCTTAGTAGGGAATGCGGGAATGGATCCTTATGATAGCTTTAAGTCCCTTATAGTAGTCCCTATAACCCATTCCCCCATTCCCTACTAAGCACCAGACAGCTATGGGTTTAGGGGTATGGGGTTTAGGATTTAAGGTTTCTTTGTTTGGGGTTTACGGTTTACGGGTTTAGGGCTTAAGGCGTTTAAGGCAGAAAGACAGCAACAGAATGATGTCCAGCATTTTGTTCAGGATCTCAGGCTTTGGGGGGTGTTAGAGAATCAGGACATCCGCCTAGAGCACACGTTTGCTCGAGACGTAATAAAATGCTGTTTAGCCCAAGTCGGTTTAGGCTAAAAAGTGTAAAGATCTGGGTCTCAGCTAGTAGAATACAGGCGGAATGACCTGGACTGTTATCGGCCCCGGGAGATACAATATAGCATCCGAAAAAATTACAAAGACTATACCTTAGGGCTCCTTATCATAATGAAACTAGAACATGCTCCAAAGCCCAGTCTACTTAATAAGGCCCCTCTAGTATCTGGCACTTGTGCTTCAAGGATAGCGAAGACTCAAAGGTGCCGCGGCTTAGGGCTTCAGGCTTTCAGGGTAAAAAATCAGCCTCGATACTTCGAAACAGGGTTTCGAGGCTAGCTAGACCCTAAGCCCTACACCCTAAACCCTAAACCCTAAACCCTATCAATTCTTCAGGCCTCTCCGGCTTAACCCCTTAAACCCTTAAGGGGGCTTCACAAACCCTAAACCCTGTCACAAACCCTTCAAGCAGGTGCCCGGCAAACAAAACCCTCAACCTTACCTTTGCTTAGTAGGGAATGGAAGAATGGTAGTAATAGTAGTTATAATTGTACCCCATTCCTCCATTCCCTACTAACCAAAGGTAAGCAACCCGCTGACGCGCCTTCAGGGAGCTTGCCGTCCCGTCGTTGCAAGTCCCGCGAGAGAACGAAGACCAAAGATTTCAGGAAAAGCCGATGGACCTCGGCGGAGATGTATGGCTTAGGGTTTAGGGTGCAGAGATGATTCCTAGGTTCCGAACACCCCGTACCCCGGAAAAAACACCGCACAATCCAGAGACCCTGCGACCTCCCAAATGAGAATCCTGAGCCGTACACGCTCAATGCCAGGTGGCGCAGGAGATGTTGTGATGGCCTAGAACCTAAACCCCAAAGCCCCTAAACCGGACACCCCGAAACCCAAAACCCTAAACCCTAAACCCTAAAAACCTCAAACCCTAAACCCCCTTAAACCCTAAACCAAACCCTAAACCCTTGGTGTAAGTAATTCAAACGCCGACCCCTCTTCTGCTCTAGCTCTGGAAATGGCCGGGTTTCGGAGGCGTGGTTGCGGCAGGGACCTTCATAAAGTGCTTTAGGGTTTAGGGTTTAGGGTTTAGAGTTCCCCCTGACTGGGTTTATAGGGGTCTTTTGGGGTTTAGGGTTTAGGGTTTGGGGTGGTTCTCTAGATTGGGGTCCCTTTTGGGGTTCCTTAAAAGGATCTATAAGGAATTCTAGAAGGCTACATTTGTCCGGGTGCTGTACGAAGCGTTGGCCCCAGACTCTTTCAAAGATGCACACCCGGAGACTCCACACCACCCCTAACAAAGGGGTTTAGGGGTCTAGGGTTTAGGGTTTAGGGTTTAGGGTTTAGGGTTTAGGGTTTAGGGTTTAGGAAGGCTTTCTACAGATCTTATAAGGGTGTTGTAAGGATTTGTATGGTCTTTTTGGAGCTTATATACTCTTTGACTGAAGTTTCTGCGCCCTATGAAAAAAAACCAAACAACTTGAACACGAAAAACCCTACAAACCCTTTAAACCCCTAAGAGCAACACTCAAAAGCCCGAAAGCCCTAAACACTCATTCAATAAAACGCCCCGTCTTACACAAAAAGGAAGAGGGGGGGGCTTTAGGGTTTAGGGTTTAGGGTTTAGGGTTTAGGGTTTAGGGTTTAGGGTTTAGTCGCCCACCTGCCGGAGGGCTTCCGGGTTGTCCAGCAGCCCGCGGAGGGAAACCAGGGTCTGCCTGGGAAGCTCTATAGGGGGCTTATGGGGCTTTAAGGGTTCCGTTAAAGGCTTAGGGTTCAGGGTTCAGGGTTTAGGGTTTTGGGGTTTTGGGGTTTTGGGGCTTAGAAGGTTTATAGGTTTTGGCTTCCTGTGAGGGTTGTAAAAGGGCTCTGTAGCTTTAGAGGGCTTGTAGGTTCAAAAGGTTTACAGGGCTTATAGGGTTTATGGGATGAAAAGGGTTTGTGTCATTTAACAGGCTTTGAGTAGACGGTATTTGGGGTTTTTTTAGGGTTGTAGGGTTTTTTCGGGCTTGTAGGGTTTACAAGGTTGATAGGGCTTATAATAGGGTTTATAGGGCTTGTAGGGTTTGCAGGGTTTACAGTCGGTTCTTTTAGTGGGCCAATGAGCCTGTAAGGGTTCTCAAGTGAACCCCCAAAAGTTGGAAACTGGGTTAAGGCCAATTAGTGCGGGGATTCCCTATCCATTCCTCTTCAGGATTGAGGCTATTGGGTTTCCAACTTTTGGGCTTCTACCATATAAAGTCTGCATGGGATCCACAAGGGATCTGTAAGGGTTCTAGAAGGTTCTGTGTTTTTAGAGATTGGGCTTATAGAGGTCTTTTTTTTGTGTGGAGGTTTCGGGTTTAAGGTTTAGGGTTTATAGAGTTTAGGGCTCAGGGTTTAGACGGGGCTTGTGGGGATAATATATCAGGGTCTTTAGTGGATCTTGCACCGGATTTTATTTGGTCTTACATTTTACTGGGCTCCTGAAAAGTGTTGTCTGATTTCGTCTGCAAGAATCTGCGAATGCAATGCCCATATCAATACCCCAAAACAAGCACTGACCAACACTCAACGAAGCCCTCAATACAGTCGCCAGAGTCTCCAACACGAACCCTACCCCAAATCCGAAACCCTAAACACACTCCCATGCCACCCTTCGACGCATAAGTGGCTGGGGGGGCAGGGAGGGTCTTTGGCATCAGTGGTTCGGGTTTAAATGTTTAGGCCCAGTCTTAAGAGTTGAGGGTTTAGGGTTTAGAGTGTATTGCGGCTTAGCTTGTAGGCAGTAAAGAAACCGTCGCAACCATTAACCAACATCCAACCCTAACCCAACACTTCAAGCCCCTGGTGGCCAGTTTAGGGGCCTGAACAATGGGCGCACAGTTGTTGGGGAAGCCCAAGCAATAGTCTTACCGGTTATTCTGGCCATATACGCGGATTCCTTTCGAAACCCTAAAGTCGCATAAGACCCTCATCCGTAAACCCTAAACCCTAAACCCTAAACCTTAAACCCTAAACCCTAAACCCTAAACCCCTATACCCTAAACCCTAAACTCTAAACCCTAAATCCTAAACCCTAAACCAGGAAAATTTTGCGACTCTGCCCGGGCGCTCGTAGCCCAGCGCGGGCACTTCCGCCACAGGCTCGAAGAGGAAAGGCTCGGCCCTGGTGGGGGGGTTGTTTAGGGTTTAGGGTTGAGGGTTTAGGGTTTAGGGTTTCAGGGTTGTTTGATATTGTGTTTAAGGGGTTGTAGGGTTTGGGGTGTAGGGATGAGGGTTTAGGGTTTCAGGGGATTGGGCGCTTTTCGATTAGTCTTGCTAAGGTTTTGGGCCGCCCGCTGAGACCCTGTGCAAGATCAATAGCCAAGCACCAGGGTTTAGGGTTTAGGGTTTAGGGTTTAGGGTTTAGGGTTTAGAATCAAACATGCTGCACCCCAACCCTCGACCCCAAGCCCTACGCTCCAAACCCCAAGCCCTATGCCGGAAGCCCAGGCAGCCCCAGCACAACGTAAACGTAAGGGACCCAGTAATTATAAACCATAGCTTCATTGATAATTACAATAAAACCAAATGGTAGCGAATCCGTTCGCCTGCAGAAACCCCCAACTACCCAACACCTTTATCAAACCCGTATACAAGCCTTACAAAACCTTTAGAACCCCGCCCAAAGCTTGAATCCCCAAGCCATAAACTGGCATAACATGCCCGTGTATAAAAGCTGCTGAATCCTTGCAACACTCTTTAACACTAACTCCTAACTTTGGAAACACCCTCATCCAGCCCGTACATACAACCCTGTAACAACCCTATAAACATGTACAAACACCTGCACAAACCGCTAAAACCCCGTCTGCAAAGCCTTTGACCCCAAACCCTAGGCGGAGCACTTTTTTTTTCCTAACGTTGGCGGTCCCCGGTCTCCCTTGCTAAGGTTGGCGGTCCCGTTTTAGTTAGAACTACTATGCACTGCAGCATTTCCTATTGTTTTGCATCTAGCTATTAGGCAACTGCAATTAGCAGGGTGGCCTTTGGCCGCCAGCTATTGGGGAATT